CCCGCCGCCCCTGCCCCCCCACAGGGCGACGGCCTGATCGTGGCGACGCCCACAGGCTCAACCGCCTACAGCCTGGCCGCGGGCGGCTCCATGGTGCACCCCCAGGTCCCGTGTGTGCTGTTCACGCCCATCTGCCCCCACAGCCTCTCCTTCCGGCCGCTCATGTTCCCAGACCACGGTGAGCAGCGCGCGCACGCGAGCGGGCCAGGCGCGCCGGGCGTCTTGGTCTTCTTCTTCTCGCGTCCGGGTATTGCAACGTAGCTCGGATTGCGAAGCCGTCAGCAATAGGGGGAGGGCTGCGATGGCCTGCCAGCACCCAGCCTTTCAGGTTGCAGGGGTGTGAGCAGCCCAACGCTGACGACACCTGCCCATCGCCGGTGCCTGTGGACGACGGCTCACGCCCCCTCCTTGCAACCACCCTCCTGCTGCGCTCCTTGCGCCGCGCGCCCCTCGCCGCGCCACCGCCCGCAGTCGTCCTCTGCATACGGGTGAGTTGATGCCTCCCCCCCCCCTCCTCCCTTTGCGCGTGCCTGTACCCCTGCCACAGCGCAACTTGCGGAACCCGAACCGCCAGCCTGCACGCCCCTTGACGCGCCCGGCTTGTCCCACCCTGATATTGTTGCCCCTTATGTGTATGCTTGCTGGCAGATCCGTTGGAAGGTTAGAAATGAGGAGGTCCGCTCTGATGAGCGCGGGGCCGATGGCAGTGATGCTATGGCATGAGTAACTTATCTATCTATCTATCAATCACCCTCCTGCTTGCTGCACCCGGCTCCGGCTCGTCCTTAACCTCGTCCTTTTCGCTCCAACGCTCTCCATCCCCCTCCCACGCACTCACGGGACCCAGGTGCCTCCAGGCATCCGCAGCCAGGTGTGGTGCTCCTTTGACGGCAAGGAGCGCACCGAGCTGCGCCCCGGCGACGCCGTGCTCATCCGCCTCAGCAAGTGGCCGCTGCCGACGGTCACCAGCGCCAACGACTCCAGCACGGACTGGTTTGTGTCGGTGCGCCAGAACCTCGGGTGGAACGCGCGCAAGGTGCAGGGCGGAGCGGGCCAGTAGCGGCGCCGCGGCCGCGCCAGCCGCGCGGGGGCCGCCCATGGTCGCGGCGGCGCCGGCGCACGTGCTGCGCATCGCGGGGCTTGGTGCATCGGCGGG